TCTTCTCATCTCTTCTACGGTTATATTGGGGTTAAATTTTTAGAATGTAGTAAAATTAGTTTTCTTTAAGGCATTTTCGAAATCCGGAACATAGTTGGTACGATAATATTGATTCCATTGCGATAATTTGCTAAAATTAAAAAAAAATATTTTTAGAAAATATTGCAGGATTTAATAAGGACTTGATCGTTTAGGTAGCGTAAAGCGTGAATTGTTGAAATGGTAGGAAGATGGTCTGGGTATTGTTTCTTCATCCCAAGTGTTGTCCTCTTTAAAGGTGTCGTGTTATTTTACTTGCGTAAGGCAAGTAACTGGGAATGAGTTCGACATGGAGAGAGAGAAGAGGGTTCAGTTACTCGTAGTATAAATATTTAGTCTTCATATCTAAACTTATTTCTTGAATTACTTTATCAAACCTAACTCGGTTTTTTTCGCACTTGAGCCGTAATGTGTTATATATCTGCTATTTGCTTAATAGCTCAGTTTATTTGTATTACTTCTTACTTGACTTTTTGCAATGAGTGATAAAAAAAACGATGGGAACGGAAAAATGAAAGAGATTATAATTGTTGCCTCAGTGTCTGAGCACCATTGCCTTCCGTCAGCTGACATGCTGGTGGGAAGAATATAGAGAGATCAAACTAGTTATCGATGGGTCGCCAGTGCCGTGTTACTAGCGATTAGCAGAATTAATTCTATTCATATTCCTCTTCTTAAATACTACTAAACCGCTTAAATGTCAGTTGCCTTGATTTGAGTTTTTCTTCTCAAGTTTTAATAAAATTCGATTTAAGTTCGTTGTTTTGTGAGAAAGGTAGATAACATTGCATTTAATTTATCCAATTTGTCGTCAATCATTTTTGATTTACGCTAAGCTGTTAGCTGCGATATTGATTTATTAGTTGTTTACAAATAAAAAAAGTCAAAGAAATCAACTTGTGTAGATATTTGTTAGTCCGAGTTAGTTATTAAAATGTGAATGATATTTTCGGACAATTGCAATCAAATTATGCGACAATTGGTTATTTTAGATATATCTTAACAATAATTTTATTCTTGATTGAATTCGACATCAACGCCTTTATAATGTAAAGCAAAAAGCTCTGATCTTTTATGAGAACATCGATGTGAACAGACTTTCAATTTTTGTGAATTATTTTACCACAAGTGAATTTCATAACTTATGCGCACGCGCATTAAGCGATACGAATGCTTGGGAATGGCGCAGTTTATTTAGATCGCAGTTGTCGTCTTTCGTAGCATATGTCTTGACGATAGCGGTGGTAGGTTGCATGCTGTGTGAATATCGCCTCATTGACAGTTTAAAGTGTTTTGTTGCCAGCAATTTACCAATTTGAGCAACACATGCATTCACCTAGCCAGTGCGAAACGAAGGAAACAAATTTACCGAACTGAATTGAATAAACATACAAGCAAACAACGGTCGAGGAAAAAAAGTTGAATTAAAATAGGCGAGAGGAAAATGTGGACGAGCGCGCGCGCGCGCGCGCAACGCAACGCAAATTCGTAAGTATAATGGAGAATTATTATATTGTGAGATGTGCGGCCATAAAAGGATCGAATTGCACCAGAATGAGCATATGTTGTTGCGATTCTTTTTTTTATATTATTATTGTTGGTGTTGTTAGTTGTAGTCGCTGTTGTAGTAGGCAGATACACTAGGAATGTTTGGGGGCAATTTAGGCAAATGCCGTGCGCGCACATTTGGTCAACAAAATAGCTAACAAAGCAACAATTCCAATACAAAATACGAAAATGCATCTATAAAGGAAAAGCACACAAATTACCATTTGGCCGTTTAGCGTTGGAATGGTCGCCTATATGCCATATACACAAGCGCACGATAACAAATAGCATTTTGGAACTTGTTAAACGCAAGCAATGAGAAATATTTGATTTTGTAACACTTGCAAGGCATCATGATCAGCGTGATCATCGCACCGTAATGGCAGCTTGAGAAATACTTTCCGCACCGTTACGGTAAAATTTTATAATGAGACTGGTTAACATTTTCACAGAATGCGATTTTTTTTTTTTATTTTTTTTTATTTTTCTAGGCAAATTCGGCCTGAATTCGTTGAAACGTCCCTGCAACAACAATAACATTTACTTTTCTCGAATGACGCCAAAGACTAAGCAAAAAAAAACAAAAAAAAAAAGTAGAACAATTTGACTCCAACGCTGAGATTTCCTCGTACGAGAGCGGATGGTTTAATTTGATTGCTGGCATTTGACATGACCTGCACAATTTGAAGTTGTTCACAACTCAACTAAAACAACAACTGATGGACTGGAGAATTGCCTCGTCACAAAACGTGCTGCAATGTCAAAGCGTTTGTTATGCTTGTTTGCGATTTTACAAAAATTGCATAATTTTGCAGGAAATCGTGAAAAAGTCTTAATTTCGGTTTTGTTAGTTTTGTGAATTTTCCGCAAAGCTTTGTTTTTTGTTTTAATTTTTCTATTTCGCAGGGATGAAAAAGATGTAAAAGAATTTATTCTCTATGTTATTTTCAGACCGCATAAGTGATCATAATGTGCTCTTGTACTATATGATTGTCATTAAATCAATTATTTTGTAGATGATTGTAGAGCGAACGGAACGAACGGACTAAATGGTATTTTTCTGACCAACATAATGATAAGATACATTGCTCTTTTATGTTGATGTGTATATGTTGTCGTTATTGGACTTTGTGTCATGAAAAGCCGCCAAACACAAATATTTAACAATATTTTTGTTGGGCCATTTGCCGGCCGGCCGGATAGTTAGCCAGCCGTTGTGCATTTAAGTCACACACAAAAAGCAATCTTTTGAATACTTTTACAAGCATTCAACGTTCCATTATAGAGTACAGCGGTGGCAATCATGTGAATATATATATATATATATATATGTATGTATATGCGTGCTTGCATTCGTCTGTATGCGTGTCTGAACGTATAATAATCGACAGGATCACCTTGCTATACACGCATGAATAACAGATAAACAATGTGTGTGTTTTTTTTTTGTTTTTTTGTTTGTTTGTTTGTTTGTTAACTGTTGGTAGTGAACAGTTTTCATGTTGTACCGCATGTTGCATTGCAAGTACATTTGTGTGTGTCTGTGTTGAAGAATTTTATCCATAAAAACGTTGCGTTTTATTGCATAAAAAGTTTGTGTTGTGCGCTTTTCTTTTTCAGATTCTCTGCCATCACTTACACAAGCACATGTACCTGCACATGCACACGCTAACGCGCACATACACAATCGCAATCGTATGCTCATATCATTTGAAGTTGTTTCGGCTCCGAAAATCACTTCGGGGAGCAAGCAATTTAATGTTTACATACCACTAACTAAGGCGATTGCAGCAACGCTTAAAATATGTACAACAAATAACAACAAAATAATATCAGAAGTAGTGTAAGGCAGATGTAAAATGGCAGACCGGTATCATCAGTCTCGACCTATTCTTAGAAGCGTCTTTGGCGACTAAGTGAGTTGTTATAAATGGCAACGATTTGCTGCCACAAATTGTGGCAACTGTGGCATGTGCTAATGTACACATTTTGACCGTAGCAACTAGCTCCGCGACCATAATCTTACCGGTAGTACCAATGCCTGATACAATTTGAGTTTTATGTGCGCATTTAAATTAACAGCATTCAAAACAATAACAACAACAATTACCGATGATTTTAGAGATTCATTGGTAGCGCTTGTTATTGTAATCGATAGTGTTGTACAAGCGATGGGTTGAGCTTATGAAATGGTTGTGAATTAATCTTGAATATTTTTATTCTTGCTTAACAACAGCGTTCATCGTACGAGAGAAGCATAAGTTGTCTGCTTGTATTCTCATAAAAGAAACAACAATTTTTAAGTATAAGGGTTTATTTTTTTTTTTTAGTTACTCAAAGCTAAAAGCCATTCAAATCAGCCATATGCTGTGTTGTGGTTAAGGTGTGGCCTTATTGGACTTATGGTATTTCTTTTATTATATCGCATCTAACGCGATTTCTCAATTTATGTATGTTATTTCTGTACGTACTTTCCGATAACCTCTTGAAGCGTTTACTATACCGTAGCACCGTTTGTCTTAAACTTTCATTTCTCTTCTTAATTCTTTCTCTTCATTTTTCCTCTACATTTTTAATCTTCTATTGCTGGTCTTGCCGATTTCTTTTCTTTCGGCCTTTGTCGTTTTCCTCGTCCTCATTTTCTCTTTGCTTTTATTTTCTTTCCTTTTCCTCTTTTCCCCTTTCTCTTTCCTTCTTATTCGTATCTGTGTTGAGTTAGTTGGACATGGTGGGTAAGAATAAAAAGTTAGTTAGAAGCTTTAGAGATCGGCAAAGTATATATATATATATATTCTTGATCGGTATTAAATTCTGAATCGATTTACGCATGTCCGTCTACACGTCTGTAAAGTCTCTCGGAAGTATTCAAATTTGCTGAAACATTGGAAGCTCTTGCACGCAAGCTCGTATGGAAAATGGACCGAATGAGTCGAAAGACAGGCCCACAGTACGATGTAAGCTGAGAACAACTGTTTCAAAGATTAAAAAAAATTAGTTTTTTACTGATCACACATAAACTATAACAGATAAATGTACAAAAATTTTAAAGTATATTTTATGGCCGATGCTACAGTAACTGTACAAAATCGGGAAAAATTGATCCAACCTTCCCAATATTATATAGTGTATTAAATTTTGAATTATTTTCCATTGCCTATATAACGCGCAGAAGCAAGCTTCAAAAGCCACATAAAGGATATAAATTCTTGGGCAGTTTCAAATTAGAAATAGACCGTCCGTCTGTCCGTCTGTACAACTGGACACTATAGCGTAAATGCTTACCTCAGCTGTACAGCAAACTATTCTTCTCTATCATCCTCTTTTCTATCATTCTTTCGTCTTACTCACACAAACTCATTCATTTAAAATCCATAAAAACGTTTTTTATTGTTATTACTTTCATGTATTTTCCATTAATGATGACCGTGACCATCGTCACCGCCGCTGCTTTCCTTTTTCTCCGATTTACTCCATTTCTTTTTCTCTTCTTCTCCCTTCTTCTTGCTGCTTTCATGTTCATGGCCCCACTTCTTCTTGTCTCCATGCTTTTTCTTATGGCCTTTGTGCCCTTTTGTTTTGTGACCTTTTTCGCTATGACCCTTTTTACCATATTTTTCTTCATGTTCGGACTTCTTTTTGCCGCCCGACTTATGATGATCGCCTTTTTTATGTTTCTTATGCTCGTCAAATTCGCCATGTTTCTCTCCGCCACCTTCATCGTGTCCTTCGTCGTAATATTTTTTCTCTTTTTTGTCTTCGTCCAGTTTGTGAATCTTATGTTTGCCCTTGATGGAGTGACCCTTTTTATAGGAACCGTGATCTTCAAATTCATGACCTTTTTCACCTTTTTCGCCCTTCTTATGTTTCTTATGATGAGCTCCGTCTTTCTTGTGCTTCTTTTCGTGAGCATGCTCTTCCTTTTCTTCTCCTTTTTTGCCTTCTTCCTCGTGATGACCTTTATTGCCTTTCTCATGATGTTCCTCTTCCTTATAACCTTTATGATCCTTTTCACCTTTTTTCTTCTCATGTTCACTCTCTTTCTCCTCACTTGATTCAGATTCCCATTCCTCTTCGTCGTCGTGATCTTTCGTTTCTGCCACCATTAAATCGTAAATTCGAGGCGTGTTAAGCTTACGTAAGCCATAGACACTTGATGAAAGATCGGTTTGAATCGGTCCGGTATCAATAGTTAGAGGAACGACACTTGCCCACGGCAAGCTTACGCTCATGACACTTAAACAAAATAGTGCCGAACGCACCATTTTCATTTTTGCCTAAAATTTTCAAAAGAAAGACAAAATTGAATGAGTTCCCGTTGTTTGATGATTGATTACCGTTACGAATTTAAAGCGTTACTGTTAAGGTAAATCTGAGTCCGACTCTTTTTAAGGCATTAACAGTTACACTTGAATGCCAGCAAAAGGAATTACTTGCAATAAGCGGTTATTTGAACTGACTGTCTGTCTGCCTGTTCGCCTATGTTGCGGTTACCTACAAATTATGACACCTGGCTATTGCGGAACTTGACTGCAATCGAAAGCGAAAGACAAACAAAAACAAAAAAAACAGCCATTGACAACGGTTTGTGCGCAAAAAAAAAAAAAAAATTCAATCAATAAAAAAAAATTGTTAGAATACCGAAAGGAGATTAACAACTAATTCAAGAATACAAGATAGATAGATAATCTACGAATAACAGAAAGAACAGAACAGTAAACCAGAATAGATCTCTAAAAATCTTAAAAAAAAAAATTTACGCAATCACTCAGCTCAGGGAGATAGCAAGCAAACTGGTAACCGGAGCGAGCGACCTGCGTTTGCTGAAATGCTTAAGATTGGAAGCTTTAAAAACAAAAAAAAGAGTAACGCATAGCTTTTTGATGGCAATTAATTTTAAAAAGAAATAGAAGAAAAGAACAAAACAATAAGAGGAGGAAAAAAAAAAACTGTTGTTTATGTTGTTGTTATAACAAAACAAAAGCTACACATAGCTGTTGGTCTCATCATGCACCTGTGAAATCTCACCAACGTTCCAGCCGAACAGGGATTCCCTATATACGTTGCTACTTGAGAAATGTTCGACTATTATGCTTTAATGCCACATCATGTAAGTGAAATTATCGCGGGTAGACTTTGCGTAGAGAATTATACGAAATGATTCTTAATAATTTTTTAAAAAACTCAGTGTTTTGCATTGTATTGTTCTCTCGAGCAAAGGATTATATATTCAATGAAAAAACTTCAAGTCTTTGAAATCCGTCGTCAAGCACTTTGGGAAATCACGACTTGCAGAGCGATGTGCGTGAATATTCTAATATGCTTATGGATCATTAATGCGGTTCGGTAATTTGCAACAAATTGTGTGGAAACCTATTGTTTTTCATTTACGCACACACATGCTCACACACACTCATATGGATATGCAAGCATCATACAATGCATGCACAAGCTTATTTATGTAAGATGCTATAAAAAGGTGTAATTTTCTAAATGCCACAACCATCTCTACGCTGGCGACACATAACCCGCTGCTTATCAGCCATGCTTAGGACAACTTGTAAAACATTATAAAAGGTCAGATCTTCAGAATTCGATGACTATTCCCCTGATATGTAAAATTCATAGGGGATCTATGACAGTATGAGTTACTATGAAGAGTTGATCTTGAGAATTGAAATTGTTCAGCTAAGGACATAAGTAAACAGACCAAACGACCAATACATTACGGAAAAATGGTGTTTACGTACATGAATACATATACATGCACATATATACATACCTAAATAATAGCATAAATATATATTTATATGAAACTATTTAGTATGGTTTACGTGGTGCTATTATTGTTGTTATTCATGTCGTACGTTTGGTAGTTGGTTGGTTGGTTGGTTCGTTGGTTGGTTGGTTGGTTGGTTGGTTGGTTGGTAATCTTAATATTATTTGGTTTGGTGTACGAGTGTGTAAATATTTTCCATGCAATTTTCTACTTAAAGTGTTAGAAAAATACCTTTTGTTTTGTTCAAATTGGTGAATACTTGGAACTATATATTTGCTTGACTCTTCCTTTATATTTCTCTCTCTCTCTCTCTCTCTCTTTCTCTCTCTCTCTCTCTCTCTCTATTTCTATCCTATTCTTGTCATAGTGTATGTTTTGGTCAATGAACCATAATGATGCTGCTAGATGATTATGATGGTAAGATGTAACGCTAGTGGATATATTCGACACGCCAAGCATTATACGCATACAGAAACACCTAAAAGATATGCAAATATGTAAAGTAGAATAACATGACTGTAACAGCGAACAACAACAGCGACAATAAAAACTTGCAACCTCAGCAATACCAACAACAAAATTTACAATAATAACAACAACAACCATGACGATTTATGGCATATTTGCTGCGGCTAATGAGGTATTACAAATGAATGCATGCACTCACTGAATTACATGTAAATATATATAAACACATATAAGCAAATGCTCCAAAACCATCCGAATAAAGTTCGGATTTAAGTTTTTTTTTTTGTTTGTTTGCTTTCTCAGTTGTAAGCTTTCGAACTGTTTCGTGCAATTCTAAACATCACCTGGAATTCTTTATTAGGCATAGATAGATATACAAGTACTATGCGAAAGTCGTTAATGTTGTCGTTGTTGCCATTGTTGCTTTGTAAATTGAGCAAAGAAAGTTTGCGATTCAATTGTATGCGTCAATGTGTTTATACGCATAAAATTTTCATATATTGCATATTATTTTTATAAACAGTTTGCCTTTAAGGCCTATCAAACTGTCCCTGAATTGCTTAACATAATGTATATATAAACTTGCGTTTACATATTCATACCCATATAAAAATATATATATATATATACATATATAATATAACGGAACTGACACGTAGATATCGTCTCGTAGATATCGAAAAAATCCATAACTTTTTTAGAAATTATGTGCTGAAGGAGACCGTAGAATAATGTACGGCAAAAGTCAGTCCGTCCGGTAAGAAACTTTCCACCGCTCGTCTGTTTCTATAAGGGTTTTTGCTCGTGTATTTCTTGAGTGCAACCGTGTGGGGAGTGTTTATTGGATGGGAAGTGAAACTCCCCATTATTGCGCAACTAGCCAGGTTTGCGATGGCGCATGTGTTTGTCCGTTACAACCTGCCACTGTCTGAACATTTGATTCTATTAATATGTATAATATATATTAGTCCGTTACACAAAGGCGTCCGTCTTTGACTAAATGGTAAAAGTATGACTTTTATGAACTGTAGAAGTTTTAATATTGCTACTCTGTACGATATTCAAAATCGATTGAAAAATTCCAGTTTGCCATATTGATTAAACAATGTTCTTCGCTGGAAAAAGTATTGTTCAAACTCAGTAGCCTTGGGACCGGTTTATTGCTGTCGATATCGAATAAACTCGATCGTGATTTGCATATCTTATTCAACGGGTAATTTTGCGACCCAAAGACGATTCATTTGACAACAAGTTAAACGAAGACTTTATCAATAGCTTTAAACTTGCTACCTATCAAAGGAAGTCGATAGTTGACAGCTTTAAACCGGCCCCTGATTCTAATATCAGTACAACAACTTTTTCCGTAGAAAATACCAATTAGAGTGCAGTTTACCGACAATGATTTTGCTGGATATAAAGGACGTGAACAAGAGTTGAATGGAATCCTGAAAGCTATTCTTGACAATCAAAAAGTAAAGTCGCAACATATAGCTGAAGATATGCAAAGGCTCACTAATTTAAAAGAATATTCGGGCTTGAATAAGCTGGTTTGCGAATGATGAGTAAAGCGTTTACCCATAATGGAATAAAAATTTGTACGTATTACTGATGGCACAGCTGCTTAAATTCAAGTGGGAATTGCCGCCACATCCATCGTGTTCTTCGTAACTGGCCCTCGCGACCGTTATCTATTTGCAAATCTCAAAATGTGCTGCAAACAAAAAGATTTGGACAAAGACCTTGACCCAAATCGTTATACAAAAACAAGGAAGGAAATTGGATTCGAGTCTTTCGTAAACATCGCCGTCACCCTACAAAAGATTGAAAATAAGGAAAAATATTTATTTGCTTATTCCATAATATTGAGTGGGCGTAGATGATTTTTGTTATTCTGCAAGTAGAAGAATAAGTTTGTGGTAATTTGTATTGTATATAGGATAGCAAAAGTGTTCTCAGTTTTGATTGTATGGATGGGTGGGAATTTTAGGCGTGTTTTAATACTCTTTTGCAAATTTTTAGGCGACATTTTCTTTTCTTACGAACCATAGACAGCACACACTTTTGGGGACGGACACATGGACAGGCTAACAGAGGGACAGATGAATGCACTCAAGTCGATTCCGAATTTGTTGCTGATCAAGAATATGCATATTTTGTGGTGTCTTTAAAGCTTCCTTCTGAACGTTGCAAACGTTTTGACAAACATATACACCTCATCCATCGGTGATGGGTGCAAATATATTGGAATGTTAGAGAAGCACTGGGCTGATTGTATCACTCTTGAAGATAGCTGTTGTGACGAATAAAGTCGAATTTTGCAAAAAAATTAGTTCTCGCGATATACATATATGTTTACATACTTTTTTGTACTCGCATGGTATATATATGTATATATATCGCATATGCATGAACGAGTAAACGCAAAACAAACAATGATTTCCGTTAACCCACGAATGTCATTAACAATTCAAATGCTCTACGCCGTCATATGCACACCAATATCAACCGTTATAAACATAAATGATATAAGTCAAGTTTTTTAAAACAAAACAAAACAAATAATAGTGTTAATGGAAATTTAATTCACAACTCTCTTATAATGCTACATAGGTGTTTATTTTTATCTTATAAAAGAAAGGAAGAAAAGGACAAACACCTTTAGGGTAAGTCCAAAACTGCGACGGCTTTTTCGTGATGATTTCGCTAGCAGTTCGGGATTCGTCATGGGCATCGTTTCGCCTCGAGAGCATAAACAAAGTCACATCGAAATATGCATTTTCTTTAAAGAAAGCAAACAAGCGTAACTCGTTAATTATTAAAGACATTAACATGAAATGCGACACACATATACCAGCTAGGACTGTAAACGCCTAAGAAGAGAAAATACCCGTTTCCATCAGCCTCTGTGACGTTAGAAAGCCTTAATATTTCTTAAATATTGGTTTATATAAAAATCTCAAGCATTTTTATCTGCTATGTGTGGTCTGGCCGTCATTTTTTTATTTATGTAACTGGTAGCAAAAAGTCGATTGAGACCATTAACTAAATAATTCTCAATTTTTCACGATATCTAAGTCTAAACCAGAAACTTGATTATTTTACCTATACTTCTTAATCAAAAAATTTAATTTCAATTAATTTTTTATATCGAATTTGTTCGAAATACAAATTTATATTTATTTATCCCGTTCATTAAGTCGTCCACTGTTTGTTCATTTTTAAATTCAAATATCTATCAAAAAATCCTTGTTTCATCGTCTTATTTATCGATAATAAAATTGATACATTTTACTGTGAGAGAGCATTACAAGGTATTATTAGAAGATATATTTGGCAGTGTTAAGGGATGGTTGACATTGTTATTATAAAATTTTGCTTGCCTGAGAATTACTTGGCCGCATGGCATAACTTCATCTAACAAATCACAAAACAATAAACATATTTGTTATACACGCATATGCTTTTGAAGCAACCAGAGAGAGAGAGAGAGTCAAGACAGTTAATAAAGTGCTTATTAGCGAAGACATAAACTCTAGCTAAAGTCTTCGATTGCCTATAGATGGCAGATGGATGTTTTAGTTATGGTTTGTGCGAAAACTTTATGTGCTATTCAAACCATTGCATTGCTTTCAAACTTTGAAATTGTTTAACTCTTTTTTGAAAATTTATTGAAATTATATTGTAATTGTAAGCGTCCAACATTTATGAAATTAAAATATTTCACGTTTCTGTTTTAATCTATCGATTCATTATTAGATTAATGAAAATAAGCAAACGAGAAGAACTATGTGGAAAATTCAAAGAAATAAACGAAAAAGTCGTATTATGCTACCCTTTTCTACTCTATATATAATTCGTGCGTTCTCTGACGCATTTCAGTGCATTGTAATCATTTGACAACTTAAATATGCTCGCTATGATGGGTATAAAATATCATTCTAACCAAAAATTAAGCAAGAAAGAAAATTTTATTCGGAGTCTATACTCGCCATCATTGTTTTAAAAAAGAATATGCAAATATTTATTGTAAAAACGGAGGAGTTGTCACATTACATCGGACTGTGGGCAATGCCTTTGGCCGACTGATGACAACTTTAGTAACAACATTCGTTTAACACCTTCCAACCTTTTTGGTCGAAACAAAAGCAGGCATCTTTTTTTTGCGATCACAAGCGAATAGAGAAAAGGGCAGAAGCATGAATGGACGGACAAATATGCCTAGATGAATTCATAATTTAATATTAATCAATAATATTTATACTTGATGTGTTGCCCGAAGTCTCTTTCAAAGAGTCGTCTTATCCGGGATACTGAGCTTGACCGATTCGTCGTCTACCTTGTCATTCATCTGCATACTTTCGTATTTCAGATCTTGACGCTCAACCACATTGTAAATATCCTTCAAGTTTTGTTTGATAGGGACCAACTTCGATTTTCCCTACATATCGGGTGCGAAAAATTTTGATCAATGCTTATTCAACACAGTTATCATTCTCGTTCCATTGTCGATCTTAACTACTTTTGTGCGCGATATCAATGGCAAAAGATGGCGCAGACAAGTAAATTAGTGCTGCCCGATCTTATACAGTTTTATGCAAATTGTATACAGATATCGTTACGAAATAAAATAAATTTGGTTAAAGATTTCTATTAAAATTGGAATAATCAAGTTTCTATCTGGACCGTTTTAAACACTAACGCAAGATCCATTTCCTTAAATCCTTTTAATGTTTTTGAGAACCATGTGTTGCTGGTTCGTTTTCAATATTTTCAATGCCTTCTCTCCCAGATAGTTTGCATAGTTTTCGATCAAGATGTGGTTTCTTTAAAGCGGGTTCGCAATCGGCTCGCATATATTTGTTTTGTTCATGCTTCTAAAAGTGAAATAAATACGCACCACGTAGACAGAGACTAAATGGGACAACGTTTTTACAAGACTCCTTACTTTGCGTTGTAAAAGATTGTAGTTTATGGATGCTTGCTATGATTTTCGGAAAACCATTGCATTTGCATTTTGGGATAAATAAATAAAATTTGAAAAGTTTTTTTCACACGCTTTGGTACCCGTATGACATTGCAAACTATGCGACTGACAATTTACTTACGGACTCGACATTTTGCGTTAAGAGCAGACGTTATTGAAGCTTAATTAAGTTAATGTTCAACTGTAGTCAACTCTTCTCAAATCTATCTCAGTTAGGTTGAGTTGTTGATTCGAACCTATTGTTTATGTATTTCCGCCAGCGTTAACTCTTCTTCGCACGGCAAAGTAAAATTGTACACGAAACGTGAAAATGACCAAAGTTACAACCGAAAAGCAAATACAGTAAATCAAGAAGCAAATGTAAATGAGCGAATAGCCGGGTGAAAGTAATTTCTCACAAAATTGAAAGCGAAAATGTCTGTTTATTTTTTTTATTTATGGCCGTGGTATAGGCGAGCTTCCAAAAGTTTTACTATCGTTCAAGAGACTAATTTTCCCGTGAATCATAAATTTTTCATTTTATTATTCTAGGTTGGAAATTTTGTAAAAATGTTTGATTTACTGCTTGTCGTCGTTGGCTGCGCTTACCGTTGAGTGCAAAGGGCGGCGAGATTTTCAGATTTTTTTTTTCTATTTTGCACTTATTACCTTCAGACTTTCAAACGTGAAAATATTTTATGTGCAGTAATAAGCACAAAAGTATGGTACTGACAAGGTTTTACAGGATATTGTATGAGCTTTATTATTCACCAACGTTGAACAACAAAGTAATTAAGTTAAGGGAAAATATACGATAAGAAATTGAAATACCCTCGACCTGTTTACTGCATAAGTTATATTCAATTATATTATATTCTATTCTGGCAGAAGCCTTTCGGGTATGATTTATATAATGCAATTCTCGGAAAGAAGAGAGCTATAGAGGTATCAGCATGCGGCATCAATATACATTCTTTGGGTGATGCTATGGTACCTATGTGAAAATCGGAAAAATTGCCCACGCCTACCCAATATTATAGTGTATCACATTTTCATTATTTTTTCATTCCCTTCATTACGTGCAAAAGCAAATTTCAAAAATTCGCGGCCTCGCCCTCTTCATATTAGAGTGCATGAAAATTTAGTTCTTTTACTTTGTCTTTCTTATCGACCGAATCTAATTTTCTTACTTCTTTTTATAGAAACTGTAAATTAATGTAGCGTACATAGGCCTAGAAGTGATTGTAAGACAATTCTTTACCAAATCAAGTAGTACGTGGCAAAAGAAGAGTCACTTAATTAACTGAAGATAATAAAGATTCTACTAAGGATGCACTGGACTAATGCCGCATGAGATCTTGTTTTGCAATTTTATCTGTTGCTTCTATCCCTGACGGAGATACCATAATGACATGACCTATAGTTTTTTGTTTACATTGAATTTATCGATTTATGTATGTAATGTAGCTTCTTCATCGGAACCTTCCTTAACATTTCCCTAAGGCGGACCTTTATTTAAAAAATAAGAAAAGTTTATACTGCTTGTCGTATCTATTTATTTTAATTGCAATTTAAATGCTTGGCAGTAGTCTTTTGATTTGCTGTAATATATTTTCTGTTTGTAAATTTTTTTTGAAAACTTTCAGTACTAGCCGTGTTAGAAAATTTTCATTTATTTATTTGCAAAGAAAACAAAAAAGCAAATCGTGTAAAAAAAAAAAGAAGAAAATAAAATGCGATTGCTGCAGTCAAAAAGCACTATAAAGTTTCTAGAGAGCTTGCTGAGAAATTGTCCTTTGAATTCGGATCAATTGAAACGACAGTTTGCCTCATTTAATAATGACAAAAAAATGACATATAATACACCGCATCCACCAAAAGATCCACCGGAGGATTATAATCCCGAAGAATTTGATCATCCAGCCTTTATACCGCCCGATTGTGTGCCTCTAGCTGTGTTTAGACCTTTCTCAAGTTGCGCAGAAATTTTGGGCCCGAACGCAAGTAAAACAGATAATTATAAAAATCCCGAATATTACTCATATCATCGGTATAGCTTTGTCGCTTTGCAAGTACGAAATCTGGAACTTCGTCTCCAAACACCAGCTGTTGTCGACTCAGCTGAAGAGTCCAGCACTGAAGAATTCACCAGCAGTGATGAAGAAATCGCAGCAACGCCATGCAAGAAAGAAGCAAACGACGGCTCCTCGTCGTCCGGTTCTGAAGACAGCGTCAAATCAGAGAATAGTTGCTCCGACACGTGAAATAGAGAAACAGTGTTGTTAGTGCACCACTAAAGAGTATTATGTTTGTGAAAAAATTATCTGTGGTCAATTTTTGTTGCGATTCGGCTCAGTTTGCTGCATTTCTTAACGAAATTCTTTGTAAGACATGCGAAAAACATTAAATGAAATGAAAATACGCGTTTTTTATAATAAGTTTTTCGCGAACGATTCTTTTCGCCTAATTTTTCGTTTTTAGTGCGTTGACATGACACTATTAATATATATATAAAATTTCAGAGAAAGGATTATGAATGCTATAGTTGCTATAAAATTCATTTCGCCAAATCGGCAGACACGGAAAACTTTTTCCTCCTTTCATTGGTTTGCTGCTGTCTTTTTCACATTGTGGTTTTAATGACTATTCATTTATAAAATTATGCGTATGACTGACTAAAAGTCACAGGACTTGGGAAGGTTTTGAGATACATTTCTATAGTTTGCCGGAGAGATGTTGTCTGAACCTATCCTTATCGAGAGAGCAGATCGTTTGTTGGCTTGTGTCAATGAGTTTTTCAATACTGTAGACAGCCTTAAATAGCGATTGTAATGTCGCGGTAATAGTTATTTTTATATTGGCCAATTTGTTGGTACTGTTGCATTATCGAGAGCTCAACGCCTATCTAATCGTAAGGGTTGCTCTTGGCAGACTTTGTTTCGCTCTAACAAAAAGTTAAGGGTCCGTCCTTTCTCCCTACAAATACTGGGATCATTGCGTGGAATTCAAATTTTCCATGGCAAAAAAAACGCTTTTCCATAGCCGCACTTGACTACAAATCATACGAAGTTTTAAAGTGTATTCACAATCCACCGTTTGATATCATTCCTATCTAAAATACCAAAATGTGTAATCTCGAAGTTTTCATATCCGCTGAATTGAGTAACTCCAACTGCAGCGAGTTGACGTAATTTATATTTTTTATCCTCACAGGTAGACGAGTAGGTAAGAATCACGAAAGCCGAACTCAATGTTCGGGGGTTTAAATCGCGGTAGTAGGTGGTAGTGCGGTAGAATTTACTTTGGTGGTAGCTATAGTGAATGGTCAGTTGGTAAAGGCATAGCATAGGTTCACTCGGGTGTGCCTTCCTATCTTCTTCTCGCACCTATCACTTCATACATGATATGATGATCTGCTTGAAATAGATTTCAAAATGCTTTTGTTTTGCTGAAGCGAAGATAGAAAAAGCATCGTTGAAAGAATCTTTATTGCTCGTTCCAAGATTTCCTATTGAGATGTGCTTTTGGCATGAAACGAATAGTAATAGTAATAGTTGGTTCACTTTTCCTATTTCAGCCGATATTGAAACTTATTTAATTAATACTTTTGAGCGATTTTAATTTATTTGTATTATTTTGAGTTAAAGTGATCACAAAAAAAAAGATCACGTTGTCATCATAGTCTAAGGGCATTGCATTTCTCCATTACTTTGTATGCGTACAATTTTTTTTTTTTTGCTCGACGTTTGCTCGTTAATCTTTATTTGTTGTTATATGTTTTTTTTTTTTTTTTCAAAAATTTTTGTAATGAAGAGACTATAAACTTACATAATAGCATTGCAAAGTGTTACAAAATATTCAGACTTGAAATAGTTTGAGATGAGAAAACATTAAGAAAGAGAAGAATGTAAAAAGAAAAAAATTGTGTTAGTAAGTAGAGCGGGAAAGGTCGAGAGAGATAGAGATAGAGAGAGTGAGAGCGAGTGATAAATATATTGAAAGAGAGAGAGAGAGAAGGACCGAGTTAAAGGAACATTGTCGATGTAAGAGAAATGTAATGCACTCTCTGGATGGTATCTAAATTGTAAACACATACATGAATAATCTACAAGTGCTTCCTATTGAAGCTCGAAATATACAATAAACATACGAATTTCAAATGACTCTAATGCGAAAGTTTGTGTACATAATGAGTATGTTATGTGAGATGATTACAAAAAAATAGTAGTAGTAGTGTAGAATAGAACAAAAAAGAACCCAAATCCCATTCTTAACTTAATTTAATATTATTTAACGTTAGTTATGTTATGTATGAAAATTAATGATGAGAACAATATATGTTTGTGTGTATGTTTTAGTTAGTAAATTATTGATGAACTTATTGATGCTTAACAAAGAACAAAGAGAAAAAAAAAAGAAATAGTTTTGTTTGTATTGAAATCATAGTCCGTGATTGAATGCCTAGTTCCGTTATGCCTTTAGCGTTTCAGTTCATCTACAACTAAAGAAATTCGTGATTATTACTCGTCCTGGTTTGTCCACTTCATCAATACAATCGCGTACAGCTATCACTTGGCCGATAAGCCGTTTAATTTTGAGGGGCGGGTAGGGATTTTAAAATTCCATTCCTTAAAATTGTGATTTTCTACTAAAATTTTGCAAGCGTCGACCACTAAGTCCGTGTCTTAAATTGCCTTCGTTACCGTGCAATTCCAAATTATCTTGACCGCTCGAAGACTCGTAACTAAAGCGTGCTCCAGTATTATCGCTATCATTCAACAATCTCACGGAGGACGAACTTGCGGCCATACCATGATGTATAAGAGAATTTTGCAGATCACTATTTTCCAAGTTTGTTAACAGTTGTTCTGAGGAGCGTTGGCCGGAACCACTTAGCAACACGCCAGTATTTGAAGCTAATAGGCCGCTATTTAATTCATTGGTTTCCAGTAATAAAGGCGAATGGACTAAGCGTGTTTGCACAGTGGCAGTAGGGGGCTGAGTTAAAACTATTTGGGGATGAACGGTACGTTCGACGCTTATTCGTGTCTCCTTCAAAGCGGCAATGTTACGTGGGTGAGCGAATACAGTTCCCGTCGTTGTTCTAGATAATAAAGTAGGCGGGTGGGCTATAACGGCTGTACGAACATTGTGACCTAAAGCTTGCGAGGGCAACGACTGAGCTAAAAGCAAAGCCTGATCATTGCTAAGTCTTTCTTGCGTGGCTTGGGCTTCAGTGCGCAAAAGCTGTTGCTGCTGTTGTTGTTGCAACTGTTGAATTTGCAATCGTTGCTGTTGATTGTATTGTTGTTCGAATTCGTCCATGAGCTGCTGGGCCTTAACGCGGGCTTGTTGTTCGGCTTGGGCCAGAGCTTGCAATTCAGCTTGGCTACGCACTTTGGAGCGAGCTTCTTCCTGAGCACGAGCTTCGGCTTGTGCGCGTGCTTCGGCTTCCGCCCGTGCCTGACCTTCGGCGCGAGCCTGAGCCTCAGCTAAATTGCGGGCCTCGGCCTCTGCTGCCAATTGATTGCGTGCATGTAGTTCAGCCTGGGAATTTTGACGAGCTTGAGCTAAAGTTTGGGTCCTTACTTGAGCCTCAGCTAAAGCCTGAGCATTAGCGAAAGCAGTACTTTGAGCCTGAGCTTCGGCTATCGCCTGAGCTTGCAGTTGTGATTGGCGGTTTTCAAAGCTATTATAAGTGGCAGATGAAGCCAATACTGCTGACTCAGCGTGGCCGGATCGTAAACGTTGTTCATCCAGCAATTGCTTAGACACAATAGCATTAAAACCGTTAACATCATCGGCTGTATATTCAACAACCCGCCGTGTGCCGTCAGGCTCGACCAGCGAATACTAAAGAAAAGAAAAATAATGCATTAACACTTGCACGAACCGGTTTTTCTTGTAATTTACTTGTCCTTGAACCAAATCTCCATCACGTTTTTCTTCCTGCTGTTTTTCATCACCCGTTAAGCTGTCACGTACGTCATAAGCGAAACTGTACTGGGGATGGCTGTCATAATCTTCCGATGAGGTGATCGCTTGAGTAAAATCATTCCCAATATCCGATGATGAGTGCAGTTGTTGCTGTTGTTGTTGCTGCTGTTGCTGTTGCTGTTGCTGTAATTGTTGTAATTGTCGCTGTTGATCTTGTTGTTGCTGGCTTAGGGTTACTGCGTGTTGTTGCTGCTGTATTTGTTGTAGATGGAGAGCATGTAGAGCTGGGTAAGTGGCCGCCGCGAAATTGCATAGTAGCAGCAATGAGCAAAAGCCCATACACAGTATAAACTGCAAAACAACAAGAAGGCAGTAAAAGGATAACATACTTCATAAGGGCTATTGCATAATCGTTAAATTACTCAGGTTAAGGAGATGGATTGAGAAGCAAAAAATATTCACATGTCATTTATTATAATAATTTATAGATTTAGAGATTTTGAGACAAGACGTGTGAATAATTGATGTTTTCGAAATACTTTATTGAAAGGATAAATATTAGTCTTTTCATATTACGCTTGCATTTGAGGCAATGAGAGTATTTTAGTGTTCCCTTGACACTCAATAATTTTGTAGAGTTCATTTCAATAGGATCGTGATTGCAGTAATTGTCAGAAAACACTCAGTCTTTGTTCCCTTACAACAACTGCATTGCATACTATTGATAATTCTTTTGTTCGTAAATTAATTACAAACATTCTCTCGTTCTCCCATTTCCTTTGTGCATTTTTCGAATGAAAGATTAATATATGTGCATGTGTAAGGAAAGGTGAAAGTTGATAATATCCACATACCAGCTTCATTGCCTTTGTTCTTCCTTTTTTCTTTTCCTTTTATTGTTTTTGTTTGGTTTTCCTATTGATATTTTTTTTTTTTTTTTTTTTTTTTATTCTTTTTAAGCACTGAGCACACCGCTTAAGTTATTACAAAAAGCAATTTTGTGGTTAATATAAACGAATTTTTTGTATCCTTTTTTCGCGAAAGTTTTTTACGTTCACGTTTTAGTTACAAGATACCTGAAGATTCTATCACTGGAAGTAACCGTCTTCTACAGATATTACCGTGCTTCTGATGTATGCAATGCAAATTTGTCAACTTTTATACACAATTCTCGTAAGTAGCCCTTTTGTGGCTGGTATCTTCTGTATGAAGGTAGGTGTTAGCTTAAGCATTGAAACTTTCAAATTCGTTACATTTGTATTTCAATTACACAAACGACCTTGCCAAGCTACTTGATATCTAAGCAAATTGCGCTACAGACTTTAGTATTAAGTTTCTTAATGTTTGCCAGTTGCTTGTCACTGTGGCAGAGTTATGGGCTCAAAGATGCCATCTTGGCCAAGTGTGATTGACTTTATTAGTAAATCCAAACGGACTTTAACATCTTTCTTTGCTACAATTTTTTTTGCATTTTTTTTTTTTTTTTTTTTGTATAATTTCTGTCTTTTATTCATCCCGTTCATGTCGTTCGCATTGTTTATTCGCAGTAAAATTAATGCAATTAATCATCAAATTTCATTTGATTTACTTTTAAATGGAGCGTCTGTTTGTCTTAAAATAATATGTTGCATTGTTATACGATAGCAGCAATTCATGCATTGGTCAGATAGCGAATTGCGTTGTGTGTAATTGCAACATTTGTTTTATCGTTCAGCCAAGTAATTCATTCATGTTCAGATACTACTACAGACAGTGGATTTCGAAAAAGAAAATTTCCTTTAATTATCATAGCAATTATTTATCACAAATGCAATATACCAATAACGGCAGTAAACATATGTACCAATAAGAGGAAGCTATTTATATAGCACCTTTATTTGGTCAGTTTTATGCAAGTATGTACGAATTTTGTCATAATACTCAAATATAGATATGTCAACTTAGTCGAGTCCGTCGATTCGATCGCCATTGTCCTTTCTTGGATGCATCCTACTTACACATTTTGTTAACCAAGTTTTGCGATTGCGATTATTTCAAAGAATTTAGTCGAGTCTGTTTACGCTCAATTTGCCTTTCGATCGGAAAAGTCAAGTCATCAAGCGTTTAACACGGTTTATATTTGCAATTTTGGTACTAAGTTTGAAACTAGTCTTCATTTGATCTACAAGACTACAAGACTAGTTTGTCTATTATTTGTTTTAATTTAACGAAATTTTCGATTAAGGATTGGGTATAAATGTGAATCATGGTGAAAATACTTTCGATAATCATTATCACACAATTAAAAAGAAATTTTATTTTTTACATATTCTTAACAAGTTGGAAATTTTCTCTTGTGTTGTATGTTCTCATAAAGTATTTGTTTAGGCTCATCTATTTAAACTAATTTTATCTGATCTCATCTAATCCACCAGCCTATATAATCTAACTTAACTATCTGATCTACCGAATATAATCTTAACGAAAATCATCTAATTTCATATGTCTATCTATCCAGTTTAATATAATTTAGTCTTTCTTTCTAACTCAATCCAATCTCAGCCAGATGAAAGTAATGTGTCTATCCACCTATGTATCACTCATTTAATCAATTCTATCTTTCTGACCTAAACTAATCTAACCCAAAACAATATTTCTTTCTGATTTAGTCTCATCTGTACTCTGTCTGTCCATCTACCTACCTATCCAAACCAATCTATCTATCTAATCTAGTTCAACCTTAGCGGATTTTATCGAACCTCTCTATCTGTCTATCTTTTTGAACGAGTCGAACCTAATATATCTCTCTATGTAATGTCAGCTAATTTCAACCAATCTAATCTAATTTCACCTTATCTATGCACCTGCCTATCTCGACTAAATTAGCCTATCTATCTATCTATCTATGTAATCTAATCCAATCTATTTTCGACTAGCGTAAACTCTCTCTCTAGCTATCTGATCGAACCTCAAATAATTCACCTAATCTGTTTATACATTTGTTTATTTCAATTAACCTAATCTATCCTATCCATCTGAACTAACGGAACCTAATCTCTAAAGTAATCCAAGCCAATCTTTCTAGCTAATGTCCAGTAATCTAATTTAATCTTGATTTTTCAAAAAGCACTTCTGTACAAACGATTGGTTTGGGGGGAACGGGTCCGACCCTAATGTACCCAAACATTGTGAAATTTTCTTTATAATGCTGACCAATTAACTTTTGCGACTAATAGGGTAGGATGTCGGTCATGGCAACATTTCATTATATGTCATCTCAAAATCGTGTATATCCCTCGATTATATTTACTTTCATTCTTTACATTTGCGTTTATGCCATTTTTTGCCCATAAAAAACACTGTTTCATAAGTGAGTCAATGAATTTAAGAAGAAATTTAAAAATAACTAAAAAAATAATTTTTAAATCTACTATTAATCGCATATGTTAACTTCATGCTTGCATTCATTATGCAATAAAATTCTAAATATTTAAGAATTCGTTTTAAATTAAAGAAGAGTTTCATTACATTTATTGTGCGTTGCCACTCTAGCGGCACTGCTAGCAATTGATGCTCTACTCATGCGAGCTTACATTGCCCAAGGATCTCTGAGAGATAATATAAGAAAAGATCGCTTTGCCGATAATAACAGAGAAACTTTTCTCTATAGTAAAATTGATATTGTGGTGTGTTATTGTTTGACTATTCCTCCAGAACACCAAAGTAGGCATGAAGTCGCAAAAAACTATCGGAGGGAAATGGTTTGTTGTATATTGATTCTAAGTTTCAAGCCCTTCAATTAGGTTTCATAGGCTATTCTCCACATTTAGTTGAACAACAATATTTTTAAATGGCTTTACGCGTAACAAAATGTCCTATGCAAGCGTCGAATTCTGCTTAGTCACAGTTGTAATCTAGAGGTGTTATGGAAGTGAAGGTAAAAATCTTCTGGTGACTCTTTTATTAGCCACATGGCATTTTTTAGTTTGCTTTATTTTATGACCAATCACTTAGGGGATGTTCTCTGTTCGTGTAACACGGTGACGGTCGGAAAAAAGTGAGAAAAGAAAAAGAGATGAGAAAGCGGCCGCTGCCTAGTGGGTGTTTGCCTAATCGGTAAGTGTTATGACCGAGTGGTTACTATAACTACAACCGAAATAAGCTCTACTGCATTTAGATTTGAATCCGCGAATACAGATCGTAATCGCAAATCTGCTCGACTACTCATGCGGATCATAGTTTTTAATGGCAAATTTTTGCACTTCGAAATTTTCCCGTAATCGACATAGGGTGTTAATAAAAACTCGTTGCTTTTTTAACCGTTTTTTTTTTGCTTAAATTTTTATTTTGGAAATGGACGATACCCGATGGACGGGTAAGGCGCTTGTTGCGATGGTATACCGTAATAGAGATGAGCTCCAATAGGTTTTAATTTTAGCAGCATCTCTCCAGGTTTTTTACTAAGGGCATCTTCGAATTGCAAATTTCTATAAACCGAATAAAATCCAGAGTACCTGGTGGTTGAGAGAACAAGAATTTGCGAATAATATTTGATGAATTCTAATATTTGTCTGCAATGAATTAACTCCAAAAAACATAAACATAACGGAACTTGAAATAATCACTTTTTGTGGAATATTCCTTAAAGCAAAGACGCACCAAAAACTCATGTTTAAATAATTTGCAGAGGCTTGCATCCATTTCGATTTCCTTTTTCTCCAGTTACATCTTTCAATGCGTGGAATTGCACCAAGCAAACTCTTACGCAAGTAAAGTTCATCAAAGAGTCGCCTTAAGCTGTAGATATTTTTTTTTTTTGTTTTTTTTATTTTTTTTTTTTGTAATAAGTAGCCAAGTAGCCAGCAAGTGCCATATGATATGATACCAATGATATGCACTAATAACTGAAAAATATAAAAATGAAAAAATAAAAAAAAAAAATGTATTCTTTTTTATTTCTAAGACAATTCAGCCGAGGTATGACATCAGTTTAAATAAAGCAAGTAATCTATTATTTAATTTAAACGTTAAAAAAGATGTTCTAATTTAAGCCAAGTGTTGACATTTGCATGCACCGAAAAACGCCTTCATTTATAGATGACGATTTTTTCTTTTTGTACATGTACGGAAACTCGAAGTGCACAGAAAGTAATCATAACTAATGTTGTTTGCCTTCAAACCATTAACACATTGTCAGGCGTCATCATCTGCAAAACATATAAAAACTATATAAAAAAAAATTTTAAAAATTCGTTTGCAAAAAATTTCATACCAATGCATATACTTTTATCGCGTATAAATGGGTGTGTGCATGGGTAAGCGTTGGTGCGCACGGACTTTCATAGAAACTCAAACGAGTGTAATCATTGTTAAAATGCATGCTCATCCATTGTTGCATACAGGATGTGACATGGATTGCTGCTGTTATTTGATGTTTTTAGTTATTTGGTCCTTGTGTACAAAACACTGAGCATACACGGTTAGAAAGGTATATGCATATAAAAAACAAAAACGTAAAAAAAAAGCAAAAACAAATTAAAACAACGTCTAACGTATACCTCATGGCGTTTTTGAAAATATCAACTACTTTTAAGTTAGGAAATAAAATGAAAGGACTTTTTATTCAGTCCAGCCTAGTTACAGGTACAGTTATTTTAATATTGCATTGTTGTTGCTGTTATTACTTTTGTTCAGTTTGCCGGTGTTATTGTTCTTTACTATAATCAATTGTTAAGATGTTTTTTTCTTGTTTTTCCACCTTTATACGGTTTTGTATTCCATCCTGACGTTTCGTAAACGAAACGTTCAACGGGATTTTACAATTTTTTCATATTTTGAACTCTTCTTGTTCAAGAATTTTAAAACGAAGAAAAAAAGGGAGAATATAGGAGAGAAC